TCATCAATCGCTGATTATTGATAACTAGAGGCCCAGAGCATGAAAGTTCATGCACTGGAGGGGGGTCCCTCAGCCCAGCCTGCCCCCTTTCATAGTCCAGGAGCCCTCAGGGGCAGGAGGCGACCCGGCGATCAGGGGAAGGCAACGCCCCATCACCCCTCTGCTGCTGTCACTGCCGGCAGCGCAAGCCTCGGGCGGCCCTGGTTACCTGAGCCTTGGGCGGCCTTGGGTGGCTGGGGGGCTGAGGGGTCTGGGAGACTCCGGAGGCAGGCACGCGGGTGGGCCTGGCCTTGCCACGCACCTGCTGCCCTGTTGGGGCTGAGGGGACTGGGCACCGCCATCTTGTGGCTGTGGGCCCTGCCATCTTTGAGGGTGGGGCAGTCAGCGTATTCCCTCCTTAATGGCTGTGGGCGCTGCCATCTTTGCAACGGCATGAGGGTCAATTAGCATATTCCCTCTTTATTAGATAGGATAATCTTACCATCCACTATGGATGGTTTCATTTTTTATTATGCACAGTATTGCATTGAACAATTTTATATATGCATCTGTGTACACATGTGACTAAAGCATAATTGGCAGATACAGGAACTGGAACTGTTAGGCTAGGGTTACATTTTAAATTGTCGTCGGCATTGCAGTTCCCTTACAACAAGTCGTTCCTTCACCTGCGCACAGCTTGTGTAGAGTGCTGTCACCATGCCAGACAGGCTGCAGCCCCGTCCTTCCTCCACATCGCGAGTCCTGGGCACGCTCCCTGGAAGCCCGCAGTGGGACCTGGGTTTCTCTTCCTGTGCTGGTTTCAAGAACCAGTGAGATGGTGGGTTTGACTCCAGGCCTAAGCTTGGGAATCCCTCGTCATCAGAGGGCAGCTGGAGGATAGATTGCGATGTTTTATCTACAAAAGCTCCAGATTGCAAATGGCACTTACTCTTGTCCTTTATGGTGTCAGTTAACATGTGGAACCAGGGGTTCCTTGCTGAGAGGTGTGGGTGGCACTGTGGGAAACACTGAGACTGGACAGGCCATGTGTGGGAAAGGCTGAACCTTCTTGCTTGTCAAAAATACATCCCAATGTGCTCAGTAATGGCAGTTGTTGGGCAAACTTGTGTGATGGGTTAGAATCATAACACAGGGAGGAGAGGTGCTGAGTATTAGAAATGACAGAGGGGATATTGAAATCCGCATACATTCTTCAGATTTTCTACTATTAAGACAGCCTCATTCGTTTACTTCTTTGATTGTATATTTCCTCATTCTTATCTCTGTCTTCTGAGAATGATTATCTTTCTTTTCTCTGAAAGCCTGGAAGTGGACATGTAATGTCATCACCAGCTGGAAGCTGAGTTATCCTCTCATGAGCACATTCTAAAACAAAGGCTAAGCCAGGACGAGCGTTCACTACGCCCATTTCGTTTGGCACAAAGGGAAACAGTCCCTCTCCTGCAGCAGGAGAGACTGACGGGAGCGAGAGCGTGCTGCGTGCGGGAGGGCACCAACCGTCTGCTCTCTCAACCGCTGCTGGGCTCTGTTCTGGTAACGGGTGTGGAGGGTGGAACCCAGCAGAGTGCCCAGGGGCCGGAACTGCACTGGCGCGCTGCTGCTGCGCCCCCTTCTGCCCCCTGGGCATCCCGCCTGGACCACTGCAGCGGCAGGGAGCTTGTGCAGGGCCCGCGTGCAGGGAGTACAGTCAGCCAGGGCCCGTGGCGGGTCCCCGGAGGCTCACCTGAGACCCTGCCTGCTCCCTGAGGCCCTCCTCCTCACTGTGCCGGGCGAGGAGTGCCGGCTCCTCCTGTTCAGTGTGTAAGTCTGAGGAAGAGGCACTGTCAAAACATGCCCCTCATGTTCTGCCGGCCTCCTGGAGAACTTTCTAGGGAGCAGGCAGGCAGGAGAGGTCTCGGCTGGTGGATAACCCTGCAGCAGGGACTCAGGGTGCCAAGAAGCCACACGCATGTGTCACCTATGCACATCTCAGTTAATCAGGTCTCTTTGACAATAAGAAATCTCAGGAAACAGAGATGGCAGGGACAGGAATGTCTACAACCCAGTGTGCTGACACCTGCTGGGAAAGTCCCAGGGAGCCACCTCCTGCTTTGGGGCCTAGGGGAGGGGCCAGTGCTCCGCTGCTCCTGTCATCAGCAGGGTCCCTGAGGCACTGCTG